TTATTTCTCATCATGCATCGATGATTCCCAAAGAAATTACACAAAGCTACATAACGAGTCTCCTCCAACCAAGTTTTATGCTTACCAAAATAAAAAAAAGTCTGATTACAACTACGATTACACGAATAGTGCCATAATACGTCTAAATACGACTTGTCAAACCTCCTCAATCAGTCCTGAAAGTTAAAAAAAAAACAAAACTTTTCCTCCAAGTGTTTCATATTAAAAGTTGTCTCTGTGTATAGGTTTGTATTTTTATGTCATGCCGCTACATGTGGTTCAGAAAATATCACTCGTCAACTCTTGCGAAATCGTTTTTTTTGGTCAAATCGTGCTCAAAGATGAGACTTTTTTTGGCTAATTAAATTTTCTTTTCATATTTCAACTCACCCGTAATGAGAGATTATTTCATCTGTGTGTCCAGTATCACAGATTCTGAATCATCGATGTGTTGAGAAATAACAGTGAAAATGTCACGTTTTTATCTTTAATAGTTTCTGAGATATTTTCAATCAAAGAGCCTCAAAATACAAGATACGAAAAAAACCTGCTGAAGTGATTCAAAGGGCAAATTTTTAAAAACATATGAAAATATTTAATGTACCAAGCTGAAAATTCACAGATGTCATTTTAGATGTCTATAGTTATTAATTAAACTCTTTGTTGTTCCCTAAAGGTGGGTCTGCTGGACCTGGAGCTGAACCGCCTCACCAAAGCCCTGTTTCTGGCCCAGGTGGTCCTGTCCGTCGTCATGGTAGCGCTGCAGGGGTTCGTGGGTCCGTGGTTCCGCAACCTGTTCCGATTCGTCGTGCTCTTCTCCTACATCATCCCCATCAGGTGCTCAGTCATTAAAACATGTTCATCGGGTTATTTTGGGACATATATATTTATATATATATGTGTGCAGGCAGAATATTTGGTCTCAAAATTAAAAAATAAAAACACAAATTCAATAAAAAGCTCAACAAACTGTCACATCTGCTTCTTACGCTCCACATAAAGTTATTTTTTACATCATGTAGCTCATTTTTGATGCTGCTTTATTGTCATTTTGCTGATCGATGGTGGATTTTCTGTTGGTTGTTTTTGTTTTTCATGTGCAGCTTACGTGTGAACCTGGACATGGGGAAGTCGGCCTACGGCTGGATGATCATGAAGGACGAAAACATTCCCGGCACCGTGGTGAGAACCAGCACCATCCCCGAAGAACTGGGCCGGCTGGTGTATCTGCTGACGGACAAGACGGGTAGGACGCTGTGCCGATGTTAATGTTATTAAAGCTTTAATAGCAGAAAACAGAACTGATTTCAGGCTGGTTTGCATACAAGTGTGGAGACTCTGGAAGCCCGGTCAGCATCGTTATACCGTCAAAGATCAGAGTTATCGGGATTTCTCTCTCTTCTATTTTTTAACCAGCTCTGACAAAAATGTGTTTAAAAATGCACCACTTGGACGCTGTGATGGGACTTTACACACATCTTAACTAATCACTAACGTGTTTTTCTAAAGTTTGGCATCAAGATATTTTTTATTTTTTCTGCCAATGAGCAGTATATTAGTTTAAAATATTAATTATCTCTCCTTGATTACTAATTCTAGATATGAACTCTAAATAAACCATTTGCTGCAGGTGTGTGCTGTAGATTTAAAGGTTTTATGTTTAATAGGGTTTTTTTTTTTGGCGTCGATTCTGAAAGAAGCCAACAAAACACACTTTTTAGTTTGATGTTTTGTCAGATGCTGCCGTTTTTAACCAGTGCAGCACGTCACTGCTCCTCAGGTGTTCTGTGGCATTAACCTTTTTATTTAAATCAGACTCCATGAGAGCAGCAGTAATCCGTTTTGTGGTGCAGAGCTGCAAAGATTAATTATCAATTAATCGTTCTGAGTAATTTTTTTCAAGGAAAAAAAGTCTGAATTCTTTGATGGCATTTTCTTAAAATTAAATATTTCCTGTTTTCTTCCTGCCTCTGTCCGATTATCTGAATATGTTTGAGTTGAGTTGAGAAAACAAGACATTTATCAGCTTGTGCTTTGGGACATATTTCATCATTTTCTGACGTTTTCTAGACCTGGAACTCACTGATTCATCGAGAAAGTAATCGACCGAAAATGAAAATGACCACAAGCCATTTGAGTTTACGTGATTTATTCATAAAAAAAAGAACTAATAAACCCCCAAAAAGCTCAACAAGAGGTCATATACTGCATGTAAACTGTAGATAAATACATCTATTAACCCAGACGGTGAGTCAGTGTCACGTCTCTGAAGAAGACAAATTTTTAAAAGCAGTCGTTTAATTATTTTATATAAACGTTCAGCCACTTTTCACCGTTCAGGTTTACGCAATTTATTCAAAAAGAGCCCACGATACAACAAAATGAATCAATGAACTCAGCTCAACAAATGACCACAAGGTGCCGGTAAACTGTAGAAACCAACATCTGTGAAGATAAGTTTTAAAAGCAGCCACATCTTTATTTAATGTCAAAGTTA